GGGCGGTGGGCGGGCTGCGCGAATGCATTAACGCGCTTAATCAGAGGCCGCCGCCTCGGGAGATTGCTTCTGAATATTGGATCGGCGCGAAGACCCGCTGCCAGTTCGTCCGCCCGCCGCCGCCGCCGCCGCCGCCGACCTGCACCTGACGCGAGTATCGGCGCGCACGGCGCCGCCCTTCAAATCGCAATGCTTCTCAACAATGGGGCGGCCTTCGGTCGCCCAAAGAGATTCCACAGACCTTTGGCGACGTGGCGGAGACATACGTCGTGCGTGCACGAGCCCAGCTCCAACCGCGGCGCTCGCGTCTGAATTGGAGCGAGTTATCGAGTCATGAGAATGGAAGCACGAGTGTTCTTGCATGGAGGAAATTGGAATTTGCTTCAATGCTAAGTCAATGGAAGCCTTGGTCTATTGTTGCTTTGTCCCAATGCTGATTATTATTTGAGTTTCGAGTTTGTTCGAATGAAAAAGTATCAAACCAAACCATTGCTACGTTCTCCCAAATACGAATCTTACCTCAAATTTGCTACTGTGGTATTTTTTCTGATCAAATCTCCTCTTTCAGAATAAATATTAGCAAAGGAATAGCTTGGAATACTTTAATAATAGGTAGTACGTTTCAAAAACAGACAAATTATAAACTCCTTCATAAAGGAATTAATTTAAAAGAAGACTATACAATTAATACGCACCACAATATGTTAAAACGTAAAAATAATACAAATGTGCCTCTAATGACACAAAACGCCAGAATTGTTAGATCTACAAAATAATTTTGGCTTTCGGACATTATTATTATGCTCTGTTCTAGAAAAAAAACATATGAAATGGCACCATCTTTAGATAAACCCTAATAATTTTAAAGATCTTATATACGAAGGATTAAGTTTGGACTTGGAATTTAGTGTCCTATGAAAAGGCCTAAGAATTTAATTTGACCTTGGTTTCTAAAGTGGGTTTTAATTTAAATTTTTCTCTAGTAGGCTTAAACTATCTCCTATAAAAATATTTCTGACTTTTTTAATTATCATTATAAAAGAAAACAATGATTGGATATCAATATATTAACTTAGAATAACATTTTCGATCGGCAACACTGTTGATAACTATTTTGAATGGTCTCTTCATTGTGTTCCGACATTTTACAACAACAAAACTTGACTACGCTACTTGATATCTGGGTGGTGCTTTACAAGAGTTACAATATGTCAGGTTTAGCCAATAATGAACTAATGAATCTCAATGACACGCTTAACAAAAGAGTATTATTCTACATACGTTGTTGCAATATGAGAATTTATCACATATCACTACCACAAATTCAGTTTATTACTATACTACATACGAATATATAAATTCCAGACATGTAAATTTATTTGATCTACGCACATATGAAATTTATAAAAACAGGATTACATATACAATTTTGGAATTGGATTTAGTGAATGTGCTGAGATGTCTGTTTCAGAGTTCGGAAGCGTGATATACATAGTAAAAGTAATTAAAAAGAATTATTTTGCGATTTCAGTGACTGAATACAACATACGGGAACACCGTAAATTCAATTATTGGATTCATTCGCGTTTAAAGAATTTCAATCAGTCTGCTGACCTGCTTTTGCGAAAACGCGAACGAAATATGAAATGACTTGTCGGCCTACAGGGAATGTATTTGTTGGTATCTGAAGAGAAATTTATTTTAACAGAAGTCTACCATATTTTTGAGATATACCTCTGAATAGAAAGAAATAGTGACTTAATGTTCTGTCTGACTAAATTTATATGCAACACTTGATTTAAGATGATCTCTAACGCTAACTTGCCGTACACGTATTTAAAAAATATAACATTTGAAGATAATATTATAGAAATTAGAATATTTTACCAAATATAAATTCGAATGAATAATGAATTATTGTTAGATCATTATTACTACGGGGAGGTAATGAAAGTTTCAGCATTACTGCCGTTCTTCAGAAGTGGATAGAAAAGCCAGTGATCTCAATATGTGACGCTATGCAATCAATTAACGATATGTATTAGACATTTACAATAGTAGGAAGGTTACCACAGCGAGTCTCAATGTGAACACTGGCTTCTTAACTAAAATACAATGAAAAACTTACATTAAAAGCTTTAAATAAGAAAAAAATATAATGCAAATGAAACATTGCAAATGCAAATGAACATCCAGTAATGTAAAATGAAAATGCACAAAAGAAAATAAGAAAGAAATGCTCCCCAAATTCAGAATAAATCAAGAAAAAATGTTGGTTATATCAGATGGACCGTACATTACATCTGAACAAAAAAGTTACAATTTGATTCGTAAATGTAGACAAAGGCGTATTATGTCCTACATTCACAAAATGAATTTCCGAGTGCGTTTCAGGCTCCGGCGCAAACCGAACGCCCAGCATTGAATTTCGCCCAAAAGAATCCATCCCCGAGGAGACATCAATATCTCCTCCTACAAGCGCTGGCCGTCGCCGATGACCTTCCATACGTTTACAGCCTTCGCGACAAGAATACGACCAGCAGTCCGAGGTAAAGGAAGCCCGAAACGCGACCTCAGATCCGAAGTGGCTGTATCGGTGGACGGGCAGTAAACCCTGAAACCGAACCAGCGCGCACAGCACCAAATTCCCGCCGGCGCATTCCAGCTCCCCCCCCCCGCGGGGCGGGTAAGTCATAAACGCGCAGAGAGGTGACTTATAAACGACCAATCTGGCCGGCGTGGTGGAGGGTGCCACTCCGCGCCGGCCGCCAGGGACGGGCGAGGGAGGGGGCGACGAGAGCGCTCAGTACGTGACGAGGACGACAATGTCGCGTTTTCCGCGCGCGTAGAGCTTTGCGACCGCGCATTGAAATAAAGTGCATTTCCGGATTGCGACGCCAGCGGCTGCCGAGAGAGCGAGAGAGAGAGCGAGAGACGAGCGAGAGAGAGAGAGCGAGCGCGAGAGGAGCGAGAGAGAGCGAGAGAGAGAGAGAGAGAGGAGAGAGAGAGCGAGAGAGAGAGAGGGGGTGCGGAGTAAGGAGGCGGCAGAATAGGGCAGGGGAAAGAACAGCAAGGCGGAAGTGGAGTGAAGGAAACGCGAGCTGGGGAGGGGCGGAGCGGATAAAGCAAGGCGGAGCGGGACGAGGCGGAGCGGGGCGGGACGGAGCGGCGAGGAGCGGGTGAACGGGCGAATTGGGGAGGAGCGGGCGGAACGGGGCGGAAAAGAGAAAAACGGAGTGGAGGGGTGGAGCGGGTGGAGCGCGGAGGAGCGGGTGGAGCGGGGTGGAGCGGGTGGAGCGGGACGCGCGGGGGGAGCGGGCGAATGAATTGAGCAAGGCGTGGCGGCCAGGGGTGTCGTGACAGGGCTGAACCAAACTAGGCGGAACTGGGTGTGGAATGGAAACTCTAGGTGGACGGATTGGATCTGAGTGGAATGGAATGGCGTGGCGCAACTGGTTGGGGTAGGGTAGATTAGGATGACATTGGTATAGTGGGGAGCGTTTGGCGAGACAGATCAGGATAGCGGGCATGGGATGGCGGTGTGGCAGGATGTGATGAGCGTAGTCGGTGTGTAGGGTCGGCGGAGGTGGATGGGGCATGGTATAGGGCATTGCGGGGTGGCTTAGAGATTCAGGAGGCGGAGTTTTGGGAGGCGGTGCGATGCGCTGACGGATTGGCCGTTGACTGTGGGCGACACCAAATCTCACAGTGTGATGTCTGAGAGACAGTTGACGAGTTGCGACGTCAGCGGATGCTCAGGCAAGGACCAAAAGAAATCACTACGAGCGCTAAAACGGGAAGCTACAAAGATTGCAATATTCGAGTAATGGTTGATGTGCGGCAGTGAAGGTTAGAAGCAATGGGATGGTACGAAAGATTGCAAAACATTGTTGTGTTTAGGATTAGTATTGGTGGTCGATGAGAAGCTAAAGGTGTAACGAGGGAAAAACTGATTTGACAAGGTAACGTTAAGACAATAAAATGGGTTTAGGACGCAGAGAGACAGTGTGTTCTGTGAAGAGAGGCCGGATAACAATGAGGTGAGAATGTCCCGGCGAACGGAGTGAGTGAGGACACAGAATGGAGATGTGGAGCTGGATGGAGTAGGTCAAGTAGGACGGAGTGGTCGGGGAGTGAGAAGAAGATCGGCAAAGGAATCGAAGGCCGATAGGGTGACGAGGTAGGGAAGGGCGGTCAGGGAGGGGGGATTCATTGATTGATTATTAGTGATTCCGGGAACGAATATTAGTGATTACAACGGCTAAGATAATAATTAGCGTAAGTGTAGTGCCTGTGTTTGCTCAGAAGGTGGTGGTAATCGTGCCCCGCTGGATGTGAGGTTCGGCGCGTCTACCAATGAAAACCCGAATCACATATCTCCCACCAGCTGGGCGCTACTCCAACCAAGACAAACTAAGCTTTGGGCCAGTGTCCTGATATATGTGTGTTAGTGTAGTGCAAGTAAGTGTGTGGTAAGGGGAATGATTTGACAAGGATTGGAATAAAAGATCCCGTCGGTTCATGTCCCATTTTCTAGTGCACTACTCCGGCATTCACCTGGTATTGATTGAAGGAAAACCCGGAGGTTACCGATCAGAGCAGCCGG